CCCCAAAACCCCAAAACCCCAAAACCCCACTGTTAAAGATTGCTATGAATTCTAGAAATTATGAAATTAAAATTAATTGCTAATTTAGCTTGAATAATATTCAATTTATCTACACTAATTAAATCGAGATTCATTTAATATGCTTTCCTACTGTTAGTAATCAAAATTATTGTGACACTGACTAATTATGAGTATAACTTGCCCTCTTCTTTTTCTGGGAACTTTCTGATTATTTTTATAAAGAGCCATCTAATATCGCCTTGGAGGTAGTCAATCCTGCAAGGAGGTTGAAAGTCTTCTCCCTTTCTTTTTAGAGCCCTCTAGCACTATTCTTGAGTTTTGCCTCTGAACTGAATGGTGATGGTTTACGACCCCTTGAACTGTTTTTCCTCAGTCTGTGTGAGACCTGATTACTTGCTTGATGATAATGTCCAGAGGCTCCCCCATTGTATTCGATAGACCTGCATTTGCAGAATAGTCCACCCATTTTTATCTTGTCATGAGTAAGAACCTAGTCTCCATAACCCTAGAATAAGTGAAGATTGCCAGTTGTTGGGTCGTAAACTGGAGGCAGGTATATTTTACCTCCTTCAAATGGCGTTTCATTTTAATCCAAGCAATCACTGGTAAGATCGTATACATTATACTTGGTGTTGGGCTAACCATCAAGGGAACCTCCAAATATCAAGACTCTTCCTCCGCCTATATTAAAGGCTATAGTATCGTGGACTGGCTCAATCAGTTTAAGCATAATCAGAGACCATTTATCAAATTCAACAGCATATCTTTCAATTGATTCGAGTGATCCCTACTCTTGATTGTTTCCGCCAAAAGCAAATATTACTTTGTCAAAAGCCACTACACTTGCACCGTTTCTTTAACAGTTCATTGGCTAGACTTATCTCCATACATTTTCAGCTATGGAATATCTCTCACAGCAATTAAGATCTTTTTCGCCATCATGACCTCCAAAAGCGTAAAGACAAGAATCAGATAGACAAAACAATGAAGGGAAAAATGCTCTTTTATAAATCATAGGGGGTTTCTCCACGAATTTCTAGTATCTAGAAAACAGTAAAGTTCTCTTGGAAAAGTTGTCATCCGAGTCACTACCACCAAGAATAAACATTCCGAGTTGCTTTGGCAAGTGGGCAACTGAAGAGAAAAATAGGAATTTAGAAGAGGGGCGATGGTTGGGCAAAAGCATCCATTGGTGATTAAAGAAGTCAAATTTAAAGATCTCATAGGTATCCCACTTAGGCCAGTATACATGCTCAGTTGAAGGCATTTGCTGATATAGTTATTACAGATGCTGTGACTTAGTAATCTGCTACTATGATGCGTTTAGCATTTTATCATTTTAGATAGTGATATTTGCTGGGTTTGAGTTTTCTTTTTATTGCATCAATGCTGCGATCTATCTGCTTTTGTCTTGAATAAGTCTAACTTCTTTCTCAGGGTAAGGCAAATCGATGTCGTTGATTTGATTCATATTCATAAATGGATCATGTATGAACCCCAAATCTTTGAATTAAGCAGGCTGCTGCAATGCACCAAGATTATCAATGAATCTCTTAGTCTGGGCTGTTCAGTATGAATGTATAATATCTTACATAGATTGATGTTGAATGTAGGAATAGTTGGGATATCTCTGGTTCTAACTGTGAATGATCTAGGTGGGTTTTTGTTGAACAACTTAGTGCTGAAGTTCTAATAGCTCTTTGAAATGTTTTTTATTCGGTCACTGCTTCCTACGATAGCTGCATCAGTCGCTCTCTCTGAATGAATATGAATAGATGAAATGTTTACCGAAGCCTCTGTGAAGCTTATCTATTTGCTATTTGATCTGCTCAAGCTGAGCCTGGATATTTTGCAGTTTGACTGAATCTTGCTGCAGGAAGACTTGTATATCTTTGATGGCCTCCACATATTATCTGTTAGATGGAATTTAAATAAGATTAATTGTTACCTCTTGATGACCTCTTCTCTTTACTCAAGCATTCGATGCAATTCGTTGAAGAAATACTTAACCTTAGAGAATTCCTCCTCTTTCATTTTCTCCATTTCCTTTAACTTGGTGTCTGTTTCATTGTAGACTGAAGTATATTCATTTAGTCTGCCATCAACGCTTATTGTGAGAGTCTTCAACTGCTGTCTCACCTCGTAAGCAGCCCCCTCGTCAGCAAATACAAAGTCATGCTTGGCGTGATGAACTACACATTCTGGGCATAAACCAACTCGGTCGTCTCTGCAAAAGTATTTGATAACCTCTTAGGGATGCAAGTCACATTTCATCTGAAGCATTGAGGAACTTAGCGCTTTTTCAATTTGTAAATTAGCAGTAATTTTATCATGCATTTGCTGTTGCTTAATGGTCTTAAACTAAGATTAGGTTGGCAGAGGTGCCTTATAATCTTCGCTCATCATTACTTGTTAGTGTTAAAAATACCTGTTGGTTTCAGGCAAACTTATATCACTAGACTATGCCGAATCTCGTCTGTGATGATCGATTACTGGCAGCTGCATCTAAGACTATATGGGCAAACCTAAGCCCTAAGGAGCATAGAGCCCTTTCTCAGATACAAATGAAGGTGATTTTGGTAGTCTATGATTTGATTAGTTTGACTGCATTTCTGAAGGCCTTTGCATATTCTTGATGCTCTAATTGTCAAATATTCCTTAGTTTATTCTATCTAGTTCAAACTTCATTGATGAGTTCATAATATCTTGTCCAGCTTTTTGCAGAGTTTACGAGTTTTATCTTGAAAACTGTTTTTGAGAAATCGATTCCTATTGATGCAACTAAAGCTTAATTGGTTCATATTCCTTATCATTGGAATACCTTTTCTTTAAATTTGCAGTACTGTTGCTTTTTCTGGAGTTATCAATAAAAGGCATTTGCTGTTCTAAACTCCTCTTTAAATTTTCGATTTGATTTTTTTCTAACTCAGCTTATATAACCTCCTTCATCTCTTCTTCAAATCTATGTTACTTTTCATCTAACTTGTCTTGCTAGTTCTTGTTCAGGTGATTCTGACTCTAAGGATGTGTTGGTGGTTTATCAGGAATCTCTTTGATCATAGTGGCATCTCCTTCACTAATGATAGTTTCATTGTTTGCCCCTCTCTTCTTCTTCTTTTTTTTCTTTTTCTTCTTTTTCTTGCCACCTACCATAGTATAATCAGCTACCGACATATCTGCACTTTGCTCATGAGTCTCCTACTGATTTGTGGTGTTTTTATTAGATCTTCTACCGCTTTTCTATACTGGCATAATGCTTTCATACTAGGTCTAGTCTTCTGGCTCCTAATTTTATTATATATTCATAGTTGGTGGGTTGTATTAAACTGATTTTCTAGGAATGCTACTATTACTGCCTCTCATATTTTTGTGGCTGTCCCCTTCTTTTGATAATTCTAGCTTGTCTAAATGACTTAAATGCTTAGTATCTTCATTTGATTGCTCCATGATGACATCGTTAGTAGGCTAGAATCTCTTTTTCAACAGATTTGCCTCTGATTATTCCATTCGTACTTTATCTCCAATTTTTTACGGATTTTCCTTTTCTAGCTCAATAGAATTCTCTTGCTAATCTACATCCTGAACTCTTGGTGATGCCTTTGGAGGTGATTAACTCTGTTCAAAGTTTTGAATGTACTCAATCTTAGAAGGCAAGGTGATCTTTTAGTTTTTCTAAGCATTTTCTAAATACTTCTCTTCTTCAAGTTCCTCATTAGTTGGAGAGTATTATACTCTTGTTTTCTTCTTATGTCTGTTACCACTATGAACTTCATCAGTTTCAATCTAACCACTCAAAGTTTCTTGAATTTCTGCCATGCTCTTCCTTATCTATTCGTCAAGTTCTCTAAATCCAGATGATTAATCAGGGCCAGCTGGTATATAGGCATTTGAAGGGTACATAGAGCTTTGATACTCATCCTGCTCTTCTTCCTCAATTTCCTCTATTTTGCCAAACTTTTTACTTCCTCTAATGCCACTGGGCTGCTTCCTAACCATTTCTAAGGTATCCATCTTGGGGCTATTCTGACTATTCCGCAGTTAATTTTCATCTTGGAACTTAGGACCTCCAACAACCTAAATCATATGACTCATACGTCTGCCTGACTTGTCGTGCCCATCATAGGGATTAATCTTGACGTTTTAAACTTGCTTAAAAGTCGAACCTCTCTGGTATTTGCTCAGTGCTTGCTCTTTCATTTAAGCTTGTTCTTTAAGCTTTGTGATCTCTTCAAGTCTCCTAGCTTCATTATTCATTGGATTTCTCATAATTTCATCTTCTAAAACAGAGTCGTCTTCATCATAGAGGATCGGCTCTTTTCTTTTCATAGACATCAATCTATCAAATTCTAGACTTTTACCAAACTATGTGGATGCACTCTCAGAATCATTAATCTTTAGTTCGTCTCTAAACTGAGATATGTCTGCTGCTTACTTATTCAATTCGAACTTATGCTGATATAAGTTATCATATTTAAGCTGGATAGGAGAGTCAGAACTGCCTCTATTGTTGCCTCCGTTTTTGATCTCTTCTGGAAGAGCAAATGATTCCTTTAGTGATCTTAGAATTGTCTTTTCCAGCTCTTGAAACTTTTCATTCTCTTCCTGTCTTCTTGCTGATTTCTGAGAGTGAGAAGCATTTGCAGAGCCACCCGAACTAGCCTAGTTGCCTAGCCCCAAACTACTTGGCCCTAACTGCAGGAAATTATTGCTTGAGAGCACTGACTTCTTCTTGTTAGAGTCTATTATCTCTAGTATCTGAATGAGGTCTGAGTTAAGAACAACCTGTCTAATTTCACTAATTATAGTTTAGTCGTAAGGGCACTCTATCGGTCTCTTCATTCTCTCTACTTGCTCTTTCAAACATTCCTGACAGGCTGAAATCAATTATATAAATAACAGCATTTACCTGAATGTTCACATGGCAGTAAGTATGGTACCTTGAATTGCAAATTAAATCCTTAAGAGCACATAAAGCACTCGAATTCAGGTCCTTCGAGTCTTGTTATATCCATAAGCGAAGGTGACTTGATTTTGTTAACGTATCAAGTTGGCACTTCCAGAGTCAGCCTTTTCGAAGACATCATCATATGAGATTCGCTATCACTCATTTATTGCATTGACTTTTGCATGTAAGGACTGCGAGAGCCACTTCTGGCTGAGTCCTAAAGGATGCCATCCATGTAGTTAAATTATTATGACATTTTAGAATATTCACAACTACTATTAATCAAAATGTCTCTTTTTTATTTCTAAAATTATTCATTTCATGTCCTTATAATATTAGAAACCATTATCACTTCTTCTTTTTTAATTAACTGTCAAGCGGGGTTTTGGGGTTTTGGGGTTTTGGGG